CGAAATAATGGAAAAGAAGATGAAGGTGAAGAAGGAGAAGAAGACATAATAATGAGTTTGGGTGTCTCGGCCAAAATATAGATATAAACCCAAAATTTACTCAGTGATTGTAATTGTGTCCTGTGTTGACACATAATTGCCCTTATTAATTCGTCAAGTTTTACGCTACTTCCAACCGTAACTATAAAGCAACAATACAGTTAAAATACAGTAACAATACAGTTACACAACAGCAACAATACAGTAAAAATACAGTAATAATACAATTACAATACAGTAACAACACAGCAACAATACATACAGTTACAATACAGCAACATTACAGTTACAATACAGTAACAATACAGTTACAATACCGTAACAATACAGAAACAATACAGTAACAATACAGTACCAATACAGTTACAATACAGCAACAATACACTAACAATACACTAACAATACAGTTACATTTCAGTACCAATACAGTACCAATACAGTTACAAAACCATAACAATACAGCAACAATACATAGTTACAATACAGCAACAATACAGTTACTATACAGTAACAATACAGTAACAATACAATAACAATACAGTTACAATACAGTGACAATACAGTTACAATACAGTAACAATACAGTTACAATACAGTAACAATACAGTTACAATACATAGTTACAATACAGTAACAATACAGTTACAATACAGTAACAATACAGCAATAATACATACAGTTACAATACAGCAACAATACAGTTACAATACGGTAACAATACAGTAACAATACATACAGTTACAATACAGCAACAATACAGTTACAATACAGTTACAATACATAGTTACAATACAGTAACAATACAGTTACAGTAAAGTACAAATAGTTATAATACAGTAACAATACAGTACCAATACAGTTACAATACAGTAACAATACAGTACCAATACAGTTACAATACCGTACCTATAATGTTACAATACATAGTTACAATACAGCAACAATACAGTTACAATACAGTAACAATACAGTAACAATACAGCAACAATAGAGTAACAGTACAGTTACAATACAGTAACAATACAGGAACAATACAGCAACAATACAGTAACACTACAGCAACTATACAGCAACAGTACAGTAACCCTACAGCAACAATACAGTAACAATACAGTAATAATACAATACAGTAACAATACAGTAACAATACAGTAACAATACAGTAACAATACAGCAACAATACAGTAACACTACAGCAACAATACAGTAACACTACAGCAACAATACAGCAACAATACAGTAACAATACAGCAACAATACAGTAACAATACAGTAATAACAGTTACAATACAGTTACAATACAGCAACAATACAGTAACAGTACAGTACAATACAGTAACAATACAGTAACAATACAGCAACAATGCACAATTCAGCTAACAATACAGCAACAATACAGTAACACTACAGTAACAATGCAGTAACACTACAGTAACAATACAGCAACAATACAGTAACACTACAGCAACACAACAGCAACAATACAGTAACAATACAGTAACAATACAGCAACAGTAACACTACAGCAACAATACAGTAACAATACAGTAACAATACAGTAACAATACAGTAACACAATACAGCAACAATACAGCAACACTACAGCAACACTAAAGGAACAATACAGTAACAATACAGTAACCCTACACCAACACTACAGCAATAATACAGTACCACTACAGAAGAGTAACACTACAGTAACACTACAGTAACAATACATTAACAATACAGTAACAATACAGTAACAATACAGCAACATTCACAGCAATACAGTAACATACAGCAACAATACAGTAACACTACAGTAACAATACAGCAACAATACAGTAACAATGCAGTAACACTACAGTAACACTACAGTAACAATACAGTAACACTACAGCAACAATACAGTAACACTACAGTAACAATACAGTAACAATACAGTAACAATACAGTAACAATACAGCAACAATACAGTAACACTACAGCAACACTACAGTAACAATACAGCAACAATACAGTAACAATACAGTAACACTACAGCAACAATACAGCAACAATACAGTAACAATACAGTAACACTACAGTAACAATACAGTAACAATACAGTAACAATACAGTAACACTACAGTAACAATACAGCAACAATACAGTAACACTACAGTAACACTACAGTAACAATACAGTAACAATACAGTAACAATAACAACCACAGTAACACTACAGTAACAATACATAACAATACAGTAACACTACAGCAGCAACAATACAGTAAACAGTACACACAGTAACACTAGTAACAATACAGTAACACTACAGCAACAATACAGTAACACTACAGTAACAAGTAACACTACAGTAACACTACAGTAACAATGCAGTAACACTACAGTAACAACAGTAACACTACAGTAACAATGCAGTAACACTACAGCAACAATACAGTAACAATACAGTAACAATACAGTAACAATACAGTAACACTACAGTAACAATAGTAACAATACAGTAACACTACAGTAACAATACAGTAACAATACAGTAACACTACAGTAACAATACAGTAACACTACAGTAACACTACAGTAACAATACAGTAACACTACAGTAACAATACAGTAACACTACAGTAACAATACAGTAACAATACAGTAACACTACAGTAACACTACAGTAACAATACAGTAACACTACAGTAACAATACAGTAAACACAGTAACAGTAACAATACAGTAACACTACAGTAACAATACAGTAACAATACAGTAACACTACAGTAACAATGCAGTAACAATACAGTAACAATACAGTAACAATACAGTAACACTACAGTAACAATACAGTAACACTACAGTAACAATGCAGTAACACTACAGTAACAATACAGTAACACTACAGCAACAATACAGTAACAATACAGTAACACTACAGTAACAATACAGTAACACTACAGTAACAATGCAGTAACACTACAGTAACACTACAGTAACACTACAGTAACAATGCAGTAACACTACAGTAACACTACAGTAACAATGCAGTAACACTACAGGAACAATACAGCAACAATACAGGAACACTACAGTAACAATTCAGTAACACTACAGTAACAATACAGCAACAATACAGGAACAATACAGTAACAATACAGCAACAATACAGGAACACTACAGTAACAATTCAGTAACACTACAGTAACAATAATCAGAGATATAACCTATTTCTGAAAATAGTGTCATGATTTTTGCGACACATGTTGATGACTAGTGGGAAAAGGGGAAACAGAGTGATACGAGCCTCATCTACATCTTAGTTTTTGGTCAAATAGATGTGTAACGTGTCATGAGAAACCTGAAGCCTTCCATACGTTAGGCTTGAGGTTGTAAACCGGAAACCAGTTATGCTGGGTATAGAGTGAGTTTTCTGATGTTTATTTTGTCTTGTTTGTACGTACATCAAAATAGCATCGTATCAGTAAATATGTGATGTGAAATATACGTTCCCGTGTTTGTTTAGATGAACATTTCACTTGCCTTTGCATGATGGCGGCGGTCTATAAATAATCGAGTCTGGACCAGACAATCCAATGATTAACATCATGAGCATTGATCTACGCAATTGGGATACAATGTTATGTGTCAACCAAGACAGCGAGCCTGACCACCCGATCCTGTAAGTCACCTTTTACGACAAAGCACGGGCTCTTCGCGGGACGGTTCAAACAGGGAACAACATTTCTTCAATCGGTCAGTGTCGTCTATGTGTCGTCGTTGTCAGGCCTGCATCAACGCCAATGGTGAACACACGATACTGAATTTGTGAATTGACTTTTGACACCACTTCTCACCAAATGCGTGTCTCGATGCCTCGTGTCAAATCATACAGATTTCGATGTTATTCGCAGTTGAGCGGTGATCAAAGGAAAACACCACAAGTCATGTTATAATCTTTTTGCATTAATAAATGGCACATCAAATAGTGCACATTTACTTTAGTCTAGCTTTATTCTAGTAGTATATGTCCAAATGAATATTTCTAAATAGGGTTTGAGAATCACACATGGGATTTGTTTTATTTTGAAAATGCAAATAATGTTTTCTTCAGTTAAATGAAATCCCCAAACAGAAACTCAAAAATGACTTTAGCTGAACTTTCTTGTAACCCTGGTGGAATTGTAAAATGAATACGCTGTAAACGATACGAAGGAACCCCCAAAGTCCGACTAAATCATCCCCAGAAATGTGACATGTAAGTCCAATGTTAAAGATGAAAGTTATTAGTTATATATGAATATATTGTTTTTAAAAATTTCGGAATGCGCACGCAAAATGTTCAAAACAAGCCCACTATAGCGTCTGAAATACACTCAATGTTTGACCAATGAGAGCGTGTGGATTTGAATCCTCATCGTTCATTGCATTATCCTTATTAAAGTGAGTGAGTGAGTTAATATTCATCGTCACATCGGCAATATTTCAGCCATATCGTGACGAGAACAATTAATGATTATATCATATATCAATACAATTAGAAATTAAAGCCTGTTGACGAAGAACAGTAAAACTACTAGTGTATCACATATATCCATTTAAAACTATTGATGAAATCTAAAACATGTTAACTAGAAATGACAAGACAATGTAAAAACAGGCCATAGGTTGCCAACAACTGAAGGTAGATCACCATACTAGGGACCATGTTATCCGTATTAAAACATCACACTCGAATACAAAATTCTGTTAGCTATATTCTTAGTACTTTCAATATGACGATATATATCTTTCATGATTTTTAGAAAAAGTCACATTATGGAATAAACGATTTAAGGACTCGCGATTATTTTTCTAGAAAGAACTTCAATCAGTACGCGCGTTCTCACTGGTTTGTCGTATTTTCGCACCTAATATTAATTGAGAGGGACGTCGGATTCATTTGATATGTCACTTTGCTTGACAGGCAGGCAATCTTGTACAGTCCAGTAATGCTGGACCAGCGTTGTCTTACCTCATTATTCGTGTGAGGGTGTTACTGTATTGTATGTCTTCTATATTCTTTTACTTACGATCATTCAATGCATGTACGTGTTCAGTTCTAGTTTTCCATTCATTCAACACATAGATGTTGTATACTAATAACTTCCTCCAACGAATTTCTTTTCGGGACAAAAGAAGCACGTCAACCAGTCTGGGTCGTAGTCATTTCTCACCACTTGCCCTTTCCTGTTCCAAGAACATTCACAAGACACACTCATAAGTTTGTTAAAGGTGGTGAATCACCAACTTCTAAACATGCCACTCAAAGAAGTTGTAGATTTCACGTGCGCTTTGAGACATTTTTAGGTAATGAGATTATGGATAGCAACCATTTTCAAAACAATATATACGTATATAACAAACCAACTTTAAACTGAAACCCTGTGTTCACATTTCATTTAACTGGGAATATTTTAGTCTGACGTTTATGGAGTACTTCGTATGTCTCTAGCGTATTCATTTTAATTACACCAAGTTAATGGCAGCAATGTTACATGAGAAAGTTCAGACAACTGGTAGACACCGCATACACTAGATCACGACAGGACTGTCCACGAATTCTTGTTTGAGGTATATTTAAAAGTCATTTTTGTGTATATCTATCTTAGGACTTATTACAGGTGAAATAAAATGTTATTTGAATTGTCTATTCGGGAAAGAACTCCCACTTGCGATTAAGATACCGTTATTAGAAATATACACCTTATAAGATATGGTGAAGTAGTTCTGGTGTTTATACGCCATTATGAAATGCTTCCACAGTGGCATGAGTCGGTATTCGGCCTGTCCCGGAATATCACGAGTTGGTGACGAATGGGTACTTTCCATCTCACGACGCCCCTGGCCACCCTACTCCTGAAGGACGCGTAGATTCACGTGATGTGTACTGTCATGTCAACGCTGAAAGTTATCCGCCACTTAGACAGGGAGCAGTCACTATTGCCATAGGAGATTTAAGGCACAAAATCCGATATATATATATTTGTTACTAGTGTGTTTTGAATGTGCAACAGCTCTGGAAGTAATTTTATTTTAAATGAAATTCAAATCATTATATTTTTAAAAACCCATTGCATTATACAAGCTTGGTTGATGTAATTTGGCATTTTCCCCTGCAAATACCTGGTGTCAACGCAGTTTTGCAGTTTACAGTAACCGAATTGAACCTTCCCGGTTTGATAATTGAGACTGGTTATTCTCTGTCGTTGATGTCTAGGTATAATACAACTGAGACGCCGAAACACTAGAACCTACTCTTCTGGATGATTAGTTCAGGGCTGTGTAACGTTGCGCGTTCTATACTAGGCACATAAAGAAACTGTGCATATAAAAATTTAAAATCTAAATTTATCAAACCTGTGTAGACACATAAAGATTTAAACTCAGAGATTAGTGACATGTATCCAACATACATGCACGTGCCACGTTCCGTGGCGTCAGTGGGTTCGTCCTTGAGACGTGCGATACATTGTTGCACGTGCATTCCGGGAAAGAGAAACAGAGCAAATGAATGCCACACAATACTGTCACTTTGGAAAGCTCAACCCCTGCCCTTGCGATCGTTCAAAAAATTAAACGGCTATTGAAACGCATAGCATGCCAAAGCTCACTTCTGCACAACGTCATGAGGCCATTGGGATGGTCCGTGGGGAATGTCCAACGACAAGTGGCTGCACACCTAACTCCCACCTGAACACCATTTCTGCACTGGCGAGACGCTACCAGAACACAAATGACGTCATCGATCGGCCACGTTCTGGACGTCCACGTCTAACAACGCCAAGACAGGACAGATGGATAAGGGTGACCCATCTTCGCCACAGGTTTCAGACTGCAGTGATGACTGCCCGAACCATCCCAGGACTTCGCCGTATCCATCATCCAACACAGTTCGACAACGTTTACGTCATCACGGGATCAGACCACGACGTCCCGCCATACGGCCTATCCTGACACAACGTCATCGTCAAGCTCGCCGAATGTGTTGCCGAAATCATGTCCGCAGACCCTTGTTTTGGTGGAGAAATGCTGTTTTACAGATGAGTCTAGGTTTAACATTTCCCATAGTGATGGACGTCAACGTGCCTATAGACGCGTGGGAGAACGTTATGCACAGGCCTGTGTCTTCGAGAGGAATCGCTTTGGTGGTGGTTCCGTGATGATTTGGGGTGAAATAACATCACGCCAAAGAACTCCTTTGGTGATTGTTCAGGGCAACTTAACTGGCGTGGGCTACAGGGATCAGATTCTTCAACCTGTGGCAATTCCTTTTCTGCAACGTCATGGCCCTGGGTTAACATTCCAACAGGACAATGCCCGCCCTCATACGGCAAGGGTTGCTATGGATATCTTGCAACACCACAACGTTGACTTACTGCCTTGGCCTGCAAATTCACCGGATCTCTCCCCGATAGAGCATGTTTGGGACGAGATGGTTCGACGTCTACGCCGTCTTCCTCATCCGCCAGATAACGTCCTTGAACTTGCAACAGAACTTGAGAGAATCTGGCGTGACATCCCACAAGCCTTTCTTGCACGTTTGATAGGCTCTATGCGTCGTCGATGCACTGCTGTTCTCAATGCCGATGGTGGACATACCCGTTATTGAGCTTGTGACATGGTCGTTTGACCCCTGTCCCGCTTGTGGACTCGTGACGTCATTGTGATTGACTTTTCAATTGAAATTCTCCCGACTTGTTATGGTCTCATGATCCCTCCATTAAAGTTTATATGTACCTTTGACATTGTTATCGTACTGATCAACTGGGATAATATTTTGACAATGCACAGTTTCTTTATGTGGCCAGTATATATTCACCTCTCTCGAAATACGAATAACTCGACTTGTTTTAAATGTTTTCTCAGTCTAAGTAAACTTAGGCTCAGTATTATTCGTTACACTGCTATACTGAGTCTAACAAAACCTTGTGGAAGATCGCGTCAGGTAACCTTTGAGCGACCTATGACCGTCCAATCAAACGCGAGACGACAGAACGGATTGAACCAATCAGACAACGGCTACTATTTAGGGTGCGGCGTGACTTACAAAATGGATTTATTCTTCCCCGGTCGCCAACACTGATCTCACAACAAATGAAAAACCGCATAAAACACAGATATATGACCTGCAGAATATACGCTTTTGGGTTTCTGTTGACATGGTTATCATTAGCTAATATTTCCGCAAGCTGACATCCTTGAATACTGACAAAACGCTATTTTCAGTGACTGTTTACTCACGGTTGTGGCGTGCTCCATGTGCATCACTCGGAAGCGATCGTACGGAAAATAGCATTCGGAATCGTTCGGGTACAAAACTTTTCCGAGGTAAAAGTTCAAAATGTGTGTGCGAATGTCAACTTTCGCGATTTGGTAAGCTGTGTTCTGATTGGTCAATTGAAAAGGTTACCTAACGCGACCTCCCACAAGGCTTTGTTAGACTCAGTATAGCAGTGTGACGAATAATACTGAGCCTAAGTTTACTTAGACTGATGTTTTCTAAGCAATCTTGTTGAAGCTTCCCTGACACAGTGGAATCAAATATATAAATATGGACCTCTTTCATACTCTCTTCAAAAGAAGAAACGCATAAGCCATGTTTAGAAGAATTTATTGCGTTAGTTTAAGAACAATTATTTCATGTAATTTCAATGGTAAGAAGGTGAAAATTCACAAGTCTAAAGGCAAAGAGTTCGCTAACACAACAGCAGCCTTTATCGTTGTGTTTCTGTTTACTTGAGTCCACAGGACGGCGTCAAAGTCACCACTATGTATGGGAGAGAGGGCGGTGGGTGTGTGTGTGTGTGTGTGTGTGTGTGTGTGTGTTTTACGACAACTGGCCTTCTTCGTCGAATCCCCACTTCACGCAATCGATTCCAGACACTATGGTCGGAAATCCTTCTCAAACCAGGGATGTTTTGTGCAGTCTGCACGGCTGTGGAAAGCCGATGACGCAAGTGAGCAGCTCGGATGTAGCAGTCCTTGGCTTGGGTGGTAAGTCTTGGGCGGCCGCTGCTCGGGCAGGAAACAATACCAAAGGCAAGATATGATGCTCTGATGAACGTTGAAATATCGGACAAGTGCAGACTGCAACTCCCCGGCTTCAAGGCGGCCTATGGCGATGTTTCGATTGGCGGCATTCAATCGTGGCATGATGATTTCCTCTTTTCCAGGCAAAAACGAGAAAATCTAAAATTGCCGCGTTTCGGCGCTGACGCTGTTTAAAATCACACAAAGATGACGTTTTGGAGAGAAATAGTATATTTGTATTGTTTTTGCCGCAGCTACGTGAGTCCCATCTTCTCAAAATCAGCTATGCGTTTCTTTTTTTGAAGAATATATTAGCAATATGTCAAATGGCCATGGACTTGTCTCAGTATGAAGATCCGGGTTAGAATTGGTCTTCAGGAGCCAATGCTTGTCGTAAGAGTCGACTAACGGGATCAAGTGGTCTAGCTCGCTGACTTGGTTGACACATGACATCGTATCCCAATTGCGTAGATCGATGCTCATGCTGTTGATCACTGGATTATCTGGTTCAGACTCGATAATATACAGACAAAGCCATAAGGCTGGAACATTGCTGAGTGCGCCGTAAAACTTAACACAATCAATCAAATACTTAAAACTATATTATTAGAAGAATTATATAAAACAAATGGAGTAGAATGTATTGGTTGAATTTTTCTTTGTGTCTTTTCACTTTTCCAAAAAAAATAAAATAGCATGACCTCTTAGGTATGGGCACTTGAGGCAGTATGTAAGTTCATGTCTTGAAACGAACGTAAACAGGCAGTTCCGAATGAAGAGTAGCAATAACTATGCTGTGGATATTTACACTCTGTCACATAATCGCGTCTTTCCACCAGAGCCGTAATAACATTTTTAAAATGCAATTTTACATTGCCTACTTCAAGCTTAAGCGAACCTTTTCATATACCGCCACCATAAGATATAT